AGATTTCAGATTTCATCTTAATAGGCTTATTTAAAAAAGCTTAAAAACGTTAGCAATCAGATTGAATACTCTTGTTTTATAAATTTTGTTATTGATTATACATATTAGTAATTAACAATAAAATATACTTTGTATTTTGTATATTTTATTTATTAATAAAACAATAGTTTTTGGCAGGAAGAGTTTTTAGGAAGCCACATAAGGTCACAGAGAATTTGGTGTCTTTCTTGAATTAACTTATCATGCATTTGCTTGGCTGAAATTTAAACTTCAAACTGGTTCTTTACCTGAAATGTTTAATTGAGCACTTACATGTATATTGCTTGAGCAAAAGGATACTACTATGGGAAAATATATATGTAAAAATGTGAACAGTTATATGTACTTAGTAAAAACAGCATACCACTATTATACATTTATCTCCTCTTTTTTTCCTTTCCTACCTCTTCTTTCCTTCACCTAACTTCTCCCTCATTCCTAAGCATTCTCTCCTAGTTGAAAAGTCATTAGGAACAGATATCAATAATGCGGAAGTCTTTAATTTTTTAAAATTTGTTTATTATTTTTATTTTATTTGTATGTGTGTATTGCCTGCATGTAGGTAAGTGCACCATGTCGTGCAATGCCCGCGGAGGTCAGAAGAGGCTGTCGGATCCCCTGGGACTGGAGTTATGGACAGTTATTAGCTGCTGTGTGGGTGCTGGGATTTGAACCCGGGTCTTCTGCAAGAACAACCAGTTTTCTTAACTGCTGAGCCATCTCTCCAGCCCCGGAAGTCTTTCATTTTAAAAAGGTACTAAAGTACTGGAAACCTAGGGCTTGTAGAAAGAGAAGACAGAATATGAAGTAAAAACTGGTGAACAAATCTTGGCCTCAACCACTTTCAATAACCAAAGTCTTCCATTAAACATAAGACTTGCGTAAGATCAAGCCAGTTAAAATTCCAGCTTGGATGGTGAGGGGTCCATGAAGTCCACTCCTAGCTGGGGAGCTATTGGCGGTTGATGGCTACTGGGAGAGGGAGAGTCAGTTTTTCTTAGGGATGCAAGACATGAGAGGCTACACATGGTCAAATGGATTCCCAGATAGCAACCCAGCATAGAACTGGGAAAATGAACAGCAGACCCCAATCTTATCCAATATTGACCACTGATTACCGCTAGATGAGGAACAGCTGACTCTCCTAAAACAAAGACCTCTAGATAGGCTGACTAGATTCACCAGAAGGCCAAGTAGTGGGGAATGGCTGGGGCTGCCGACAACACAGCAGACAGTAGCAGGGATATCAGAGTATAAGGGCTCTAGTGGGGAGAGGGGAGGCTATGGGAAGGTGCCATCTGGGAAGTGGGTGTATTAAAAAAAATTCTTCAAAGCATAAAAATTTCCTCCTTAATAGTTAGTAGATGTGAAAAACATTCCCATTGAAATCTACCTGATGACTTTGTATCCATGCTCAGACGCCAAGGAGCTCAGAAAGTAACCGACTATGACTAGTAATAATCAGATATATAGAGATTAGAAACGAATATGCATCTTCATGTCAATTGTATTAAAAATGAATTTTCAGTATGAAACTGTGTATTTTAATAATGAAATGGAGATCTTTTTCAAAGCTTAAAACCTCATTTAATTATTAAGG